AAAGGTATGTGGATCGGACGGAGGGAGGGGGGATTCAAAATGATAATTTAATTTGTAATTTTTTTGTGAGGAATTTGTGTGTGTGTGTGTGCGTGTGTTTCTTTCGGGGGACGAGGTGGCGGAGTGCGGCAGCGGCAGGGACGTTCTCGCCACTGTGTCCAACAGGCCAGGCGTCTCGCGTTTATGTCCGCCATAAACGTGAGATGTGGCCTATTGGACACAGCAGTGGCGGGGGGAGGAATGGGCTGGGTGGTCTGGCTGGCTGGGGAGGGGGGAATCATGGTCGCTCAGGCCCCGGCAGCAGGGCTTTAAAGTAGCAGCAGGCACCGGTGACAGGATTTTAAAGTCCCGGCGTGCGTCCGCCATAGAGCGGGACCCAGTCTCGCCGTCCGCCATAGAGCGAGACCGGGTCCCGTTCTATGGCGGACATGGTGCCGAGACTTTAAAGCCCTGCCGCCGGGGCCCTGCCACGGCAGCAGGGCTTTAAAGTGGTGGCAGGCACTGGCGGCAGGACTTTAAAGTCCCGGTGCCGCATCCGCCATAGAGCAAGTCCCGGTCCCGCTCTATGGTGGACGCGGCTCCAGGGCTTTCGCGCTTGCCTCACTGGCCATGAAGCTCACTGCACATCACTGGATAGTAGTATGTACTATCTCTTTTGCAGTATCAGCTAACATAAGTCAGATTTACATAATATTTATATTTGTGTATAGAAATTACACTCACTGAAAAACCTGTCGCTTGTGGTAATTTCAATCATCACATTTTGTAATAAGAACCAACCTGGAGTACAATTTTATATAGCACAGATATATATTTGTGAAGGAAGTGTGGTTATTGTGTATTGAACATAAAGCTTATTGGCAAATAAAATTTACTCCAAGCACTTATTTTTACTCCATTATAATCTAAATAAAATATTTAAAATTCTCATGATTACTTAATTTCAATTCTTCTTAAAAAGTAATAACGTGAAAGGATTTTACTTTTGTCATTTTGAGTTTAATATTT